ATCATTTCGCAAGAGGGCGCTTCTCTTATACGTGACACATCACACGGCGTTATTGCTGGCAACATGCGTTGTTGTCATTGTAAATATCTGTTGTTTTTAAGCGTCAATGGGGTGCACATGAACGCCTGAAGAGTGACTATCGAAGGTGCACACTGCTTTAGAGACGATGTCAAAAGATCGATGTCGGATAAAAAAACTTATTTGCTTTAGTTTGGGTGTGGGGGGTGTTTGACCTCAAAAAGTTTCCATCCTACAAAAACGATTTTATTATTTAATTAAAAAAAAAAGTTATGCAGATGCAATTTGGATTTCTATTAAAAAATATGAAAGGTAATGGTGACATTTACTACATGAGAACATGCAAACAATGTGTAATGACAATTTCATTGTACTACCTACCTTTATAAATTAAATGTACTTCTTAAAAGAAAGGTACAAATAAAGCTTGTTTTTCTTTGTTATTGGTTCTTTTGTAAAGTCTTTTTACACCCACCCGACAACCAACTGCTATGCCATACTACTGTCCAATTACCAATTTGTATTTAATGATGAATGTAGTCTGCACCATATTATCAATTAAGTTTCAGTGGGGGGGGGGCTAAAGGAAGTAATTTTTTATCCTACATTAAATTGAACTTTTGATGTTGTCCCTTAAGCTAGATGAAATATTCAATTCCGAAGAGAAACGGCAAACATTTTCATTACAATCCCGAGACAATGACTGATTGAAATAATTAAAGAAAATAAATTATTTATCCAAGAACAAATGGGATTCATGCCAAAATGCAGCATTCATACAGTCAGAAATGTGACAGAACTCAGCAAACACGTCTGGTCACTCAAAGAAAAAGATATTGAATATAAAATACAATTGAAAATTCTTGCTCGCGGTAGCCCGTATAACAGCTCCAGTATGATGCCGACACAGATCAAAAGCTCTAATATGTAACAATTAAATTTGCTATTTAATTTTAATTAATATGTTAATTTGCGAAGCTTATAATGTATGCTCTTTGGTGCAGTGAATTAATAAACATAAAGCTCCTGATGAGTGAGGTACTTTACGAAACAGTGCTGTCGAGTTTCAATATTCATGTAGTTGTGTATTAATAATTCCTCTATCACCGTATTCACCCGCTCTACATAAACTTTGTATTGAGCACTTTTGTTTTGGAATAATCGACTTTCGTATCTACACTATATATACATATATTATAGTATCAGCGGGGCAATCGACATATAACCAACATTATCATGTAGTACTAGTATCTCGTGTTGTCCAGCCTCTTAACGCTGTAGAAAGTGCGCCCTCATTTCAGGGCAATAATCTCCGCGCTTGGCTTTCAGTTTCAGTTTCATGCGTCATTCTAAAATACGTCATGTGTTTGAGGGCACGCCGCGGTAAAAATGTAATTACTTTCATTTGAGACAG